TTGTAGAATGTATATTAGTAAATAGACAGACTATAGAATCAACGCTTGAAATCTATAACAGATGACAATATATTCGTGACTCAAAATTCATTCAAATTTAATTAGCTTTTACTATTTTTAAATATTTTCACGCTTTCTAAAGCTGGTAAGCTAAAAAGTAAATCAATATTTTTTAAAAGTATCTCTGATTCATCATCGATTGTAATATTCAATCTTTGCGTTAATCTAAAACGCGATCTATTTTATGTGATGCAAAAACATCTTTGCTCCAAGTGATAATTTTGCTTATCAAGGAAAAATAAATACATGTAACTTGAAGAGCAAGATTTTGATATTATTATAAATTTGTTGATGCATTCTATGTATATATGTTTAACATCGATAAGGCGGTAAAGCAGAGAACCTCCTGTTGTACAGCACCACCTGCTAACAGAGGTCTGAAACGATTTTGCAGCAATACCCGCCGTTGAGATTCGTTGATCAATTGTATACTGTCGAGAGAATTTATGTATTGAAGAAAAATCGATGAAATAAAAGCGTTTGCTATTTCTTCCAATGATGATCCTCCATTAGTAATGATAATTTATGCGATTCATATAATCATATAAATGTTATGATCTTGCAAGATATATTCAGCGTGACAAATGATTAGCACAGTCGCGTCGAGCACGTGACGCTCAAATTATTTACGAGACCGTTTGATCCTTATTAACCGGTAAATGACACGAATCTTTAAGCAAATTGAGTCCGCATCGAGACCATCCACTTAGATTAATCATTTTGATGGAGCGGAAAGTCATGACAATATAAAGAAGCAAAACTTAATGCCAAGATAGATTGTTGTCTTCTTGGAAATCAGGAATATTTAAACAAATATGCGTCACAAGTTTCACAAAAAAACGTCATTGATTCAACGAATCTGATTAAGTGTCACTCTTGGAATTGACATGTCTGTACGTTTGACTGACAGTTCTAGACAGTGGCCTAGGATCACCAAATGTTCCCACAGACTGCGTTGACAAAAATGAAATAAACTTTTCCTTCGCAGAGGATTTTCTTTTACTGTGCAAATTTCTTCTCCCCTAAATATTATACATTTTAATAAACAAATTTTAAATTAAATATCTGCTAAAAACAAAATAAATTAAAATTAAAAAGCAAAATTGCAGAAATTTGAAATTGACATTTTTCCTCAATTTATTTTATTAAATTTTTGAAACGTTTCTTGAATGTCAAATGTTACTATGAATGCATCATCGTAAATATAATCGTAATTTCTTTTTTACTTTCGTATACAATAGAAAAAAAATTTCTGATTAAAAATAGATAGATAAAAAATTTCTGGTTAAATTTATTATATTTATTATATTTGAGATAACCAAATGTCTAATTATATAATAATCTTGATTCTGATTCTGAATTCTGAATGATATGATGAGAACTTATTGGTTCGTTAATTTTCAGAACTTTTTTTCAATATAATGTTGTTCAAAGAATATCTGATTTATGTGAAAACAACTAAACCTATAAGATAATTCTATTAATTGGACGTAATTATATATATAAGCAGTATAGGTTCGCGCGAATCGTATGTTTCGTTTATTATCGTTATGATCGGAAATACGTCAAAGTGCGTTAAAGCATGATAATAGTTTATTGTTTGCAAAATGTTTGTAGCGGATAAATTAATTGCAATCTATTCCGCTATTATACACATTAATCACCTATTATAATTAGAACATATCGTTAACCAGTACAGGCAGCATTATCAATCAAATCATCGTTATCAAATCTTGTAAAATTGAGTATGTCACTGGGACTCGCAACGTACGATCAGCGCTTCGTCTACAAAAACAGAACGTGGTATACAAATAAGAATTTCGACATTCCATTAATGTTTCGTCCCCTCGACTTCCCTTATGCCGTGCAATCACATTCGCTCGCCTGTGAGAGAACAATTGTATAAAAATTTTTGAATGTCTTCAAGGAATATGTTTGCTATCGACTGTCAGTCGGCTGTCACTGACATGTTTATTCACGTGCGAGGAATGTATCTGCGCGTAAAATCTTACTTCCTTATTTTTCTTTTCCATTTTTCCGCCGTGCTGCAACGAGATGGATGAAGGACATTCACTTCTTTTCGTAACAAACAAGTTAGCAAAGGCATGCACGATTTAGCAATGAGCCGTTGAATAATAGACATTTCTTCCTGGTACACAGATGCATGTGAGGTCGAACCAATTTAACGTGTCGAATTAAACTGGGTAACGCACGAGAATTGCAGAACAGTTAATTATATTTGGATGTTGTTTGCGAATCTCATGGCGTCAAAAAGAAATCCTCCGGGAGAGTATCGACGAACTATCAAATTTATTCCGCTGCACCGCCTCTGCATGCTAGTCGGACTTGATATTCGAAATTTACTTGCCCTCGATATTTTTCGCAACGTTCGTGCTTAAACATGCAGACATAATAAAACGTATAACATTATCGTGGCAGATTTAATAATCAATTATTTATACTCGAATTATCTGAAGTAGAATTTTGTGCATGACGTGTATATATATATATATATATATATGTGTGTATATGTATATATATATACATATGTATATATACAGAAAGGATAGTTTTGCTGAAGTAACTAAAAATTTAACTAGATACACATTTGAAAATAAGTTTATTGAACCATCAAAATAATTATGTAGAATGTTCAAACTACGCTATGTCAAAATATTGTGCAGTACTCATCATGTTTGAGATTCATAATTATTTGG